ATGTTTGAGTTTTCATTACAACCACGGGCCTTTTCATTGCAACCATTTGTATGGCGTCAAGGCTGATAATTTTTATTGATGTAACCAGTCTACACCATAGACCTTGACGCTTCTCAAAGCTGTTGCCATTTGAATAAATTCAATTTCCATTTTGATACGACTCGCGTAGAACAAGTAGAAGGGTAGTATAAACTATTACTATGGAGTGTGACGTACTAAAAAACGGAAAAAATGCTCAACATTGTGGAAACAAGAACAACACGGCAGCCAGAGGTCGGAAGAACTCAGAAGAAAAAAACATCGCTTTTCGATATATCAGAACTTGAACTCCAAATCTACTACTAACTTAGTTCCCAGTTTGCATAATTATTCATCAGAATCCTAAGAGAAAGAGTACGTATTTCTTATTCTTAAAAGAAACTATCGAAATAGTAATCCAATTAACGTACCTAAGTGCAAGTGACCGATGAGGTCTTATACATATTCGTGTTCTTCCTGCACTCGAATTCGAAAGGTGCCAAAGAAAGGAAGGCGTCTCTGAAAATTGTACAGCAGGGCTCTCTTTATCGATACCAAACTAAATAAAGCCAAAAGAAGGAACTGCAAAACTAGAAGATTTTAGATATTCGTACTTTCACAGTTTCATTTGATACAACCTCAGGAAGAAGAAATAAAAGCTATCATGCTCTTGGGGAAAAGTTTCCGCTCGCTCTCCACGTTGTTCAAGCTGATAGAAATAAGATACGCGGAAGGGCTTTTTTTGTAGGTGAGTAGGTTGAAAAAATGGAGCCCATCTGCCGAGGGCAGCCGGGATCGCCATTAAATTGAATTGCCAAGAGATACGGGCAGTGCCTCACTATAACGCTTAAAGATATTCTTGCATCCTGCCACTTCTGCGACAGCGTTGCGAATTTTCTTAGAAACAAACCACCGAGGCCCAGCTCGGTCATCAAGACCAAGCTGCTGCGCTTCGCTTTGGCGAATTTTTTAGAAACAAACCACCGAGACCCAGCTGGGTCACCAAGATCAAGCTGCTGCGTTTCGGATGGATTTTTTAACTTAACTAAATTAGAAGCGCCGAAGAGACACCGTGGCGAATTTTTTTAGAAGCAAACCACCGAGACCCAGCTCGGCCATCAAGGTCGAGCTGCTGCGTTTCGCCTAGATTTTTTAACTTAGCTCAATCTTGCTGGCCAATCTACTTCCTTCAGTTGTAGCGTAGCTAGTCGCGAAAGTGTAGACCTCTCATCATAATTTTTAGAGATATAAGCCGGGCTACGAAATATGCCAACATTATTGAAGAAGACCTTTTCTAAGCGTAGCATCCCATCTGAGACGCCCGCTGCCACGCGCTTCGTCACCGCCGTGGCACAACGGTGAACCGAGCAGGGAGCGCCGCGTGGGACTTTTGGGGGGCGGGAAAGGTTTTCTTTTGAGGGGACACGGAGACTGTAATAGCTAGGCAGAGAAGAAACACAGATAAAAAGAAAGAGGTCCTCGCTTGTGCTTATGCTATCTGCGCTTCGGTAGCTTGCGCCCGCGGCCGCCGCGTGATATCGCTTGCGCATCTCTAGCTGGGCCGACGGGAACATCGGGAGGCTGGTGGGGTGCGCGGGTCGGCGGACCCGCGGGGGCTCGAGAGTTGTCGGGCGGTCTAATGCTACCCGCCCCCTCGCCTTGTCGTGAGCAGGTAAGTCTGGAATGGAACCAGCGGCGCGTAGTATGTGGCTCGGGCCTCCCTTCCACTGCGCCATCCGCTCACACGAGACTCCGCGCGCCAAGGTTCAGCTGCCGGCGCGCGTGTCCTTGCTACCCCGTCGCGATTGTGTTTGGCCTCTATTATGCTGCGCTGCCCGCAAAGGGTCCTGCGCGCCAGCGCTGAGGGGCGCGCGCGTCCCTACCCCCGTCTTGATAGTTTCGGGCGTCTATTCCATTAAGCAACCTAACCTGTTCGCAGGGGGGTCTGCGCACAGTTCGACGGCGCGCGTGTCTCTGCCCTTGTCGTGACTGTTTCGGGCTTCTGTGCCACTGCGCGACCTGTCCGCAAATGGTCGGCGCCGCATGCCAAGGCTGTCCCCCCGCGGCGCGCGCGTCTCTGCCCCCGTCTTGTCGCGATGGATTGTCTCCGCCCTCTATTGCACTGCGCTACCCGCTCGCATGGGGTTCTGCGGCGCAGGGTTTAGCGCCGCGCGCGTCTCTAATATGCACGCCGCGGCCTTTTTCCTCAGGCTTCTTTCTAGCCACGCGCCCCACTCAACATTGCGCCATCCGTTCGCAAGGGGTTCTGCGCGCCAGGTTTCAGCGGCGTGCGTGTATTCGCCCCCGTCGTGATTGTTTCAGGCATTTACTCGCCCCACGCACCCACTGCGCCACCTGTTCGCAGGGGTTTCTGCTGGCGTGTGTGTCTCCTCTACGCGCCGGCGCCGTCGTGGTTGTCTTGGGCCTCTATTCTGTCGCGCTGCCCGCAAGGGGTCCCGCCCCCGCGCGCCCGCATTGTTTGCGCGGCGTGTGTGTCTCTACCCCCGTCCGTCGTGGTTGTTCTGGGTTTTTATTCCACTGCGCCACTTGTTCGCAAGGGGTTTGCGTTGGGCCCAGCGGCGCGTGCCTTTGCCCCTGTCGTGGCTGTATTGCTTCTCTATGAGCTTCTGCTCCAATCCAATGCGTGACTTGTTGGCTCGCAAGGGGTCGCGCGCGCCAGGGTTCTTCAGCGGTGCGTTTGTCATGTGGTCCGTCTCCCATCTTACTAATTTTACTGCATTGACAGGAGGACGCCGCGGCGTTTCGTTTTGGTTCGTAAAAATTTTTCGGTGTGAAAAATTTTTGCGTTTTTTGTGTCAGGGTCGATGTTGGACCTGGCTCGTTTTTTTACTATTGGGAGGCACTTTTCAGCCTATAGTACGAATAGTAGGCGCAGTACGCATAGTAGGCGCAGTACGAATAGTATGAATAGTAAAAATTTTTCCGTGGAGAAATTTTTACTATTCGTACTATTCGTACTCCGCCTACTATACGTACTATTCGTACACGAAAACAGGCTAAAGGTGCGTCCAATAGTAAAATTTTTTACAAAAAAAAAAGAGCCCCGGATGGCATCGCAATAGTAAAATTTTTTCTGAGAGACAAACCCACGCAACAGCGAAGGTGGGGGGTTGCCGTCTTCTCGTAGTTTTTTTTTGTTCTTATTTTCGTGCCCCTGTCAACGCAGTAGAATTAGTATGCTGGGAAGCTGGGCCACATGGCGTTTGTCTCTGCCCCCGTCAGTCTGGTCGCGATGGGTGGCGTGTCTCGGGTCTCTATTCCAATACGCCACCTGCCTGGAAGGGGTTCCGCGCAGGGTTTCGCGCCGTGCGTGTCTCTTTCTTTGTCGTCGCTTTTTCCTTCGGGCCTCTATTCGTTCCACCCATTGTGCCACCGACTCGCTCGGCGCAAGGGGTCCCGCATGCCAGGTTTTTCCGGTGTGTGCGTCTTCGCCCCCGTCGTGACTGTCTCGGGCTTGTGTGTTGTCTCTGCGCCACCCGTCTGCAAGGGGTTCCGCGCGCCAAGGCTCAGCGGCACGCGCGTCTCTACGTACCTCCGTCGTGATTGAAAGACTGCGTGGCCGTGGCCTTTGTCGGACTGCAGTTTCAGTGCGCGGCGCACGGCCCAACGGCGCGCGCGTCTACTCTCTCCCCCCGTCGTGATAGATTGTCTCGGGCTTCTATTCCACTGCGCCAGCTACCCGCTCGCATGGGGTTCCGCGCAGGGTTCAGCGGCGCACGCGTCTCGCCTTCGGCCCCTGTCGCTACTGTTTCGGGCTTCGTGCGGCTGCTCCACTGCGTGACCCGTTCGCAGGGGGACGGGCCTTGCGCGCCAAGGTTCTTCAGCTGCCTGCGTGTCTTTACTCTTGTCGTGGTTGTTTAGGTCCTCTGTTCCACTGCGCCACCCGCTCGCCAAGGGTCTTGCGCAGGGCGTAGCGCCGCGCGTGTCTCTGTTTCTGTCGTGGCTTTTTCGGGATTCTGTCCGCCGTTGCGGCTCACTGCGTTCACCAGATGACGACAAAGCGAGGAAGCAACCACGGCCAGACCGAATGCCCTCGTGAAGCACTGTCGCTGAAAATGTCTGCTGAATCTTATTCCGTAGAGAAAGGAAAGGCGACAGACAACACCGCCACCAGTGGCGGAGTCTCAACCTACAAAAAACGAATTCAAGCGGAATCGACATCAAGTGGCATCATCCTTGAGTGTAGTCACGGGCCTTCTCTGAGTTAGTTTGATTTGAAAAGTATCAACGCCGATGAGCAAAGGCTTAGAAGTAGATAGCCGACGGCTGGCTGAAGTTGTCGCGTGACGTATTTACATTTAACTTTAAGAAAGAGCAAGCGCGAGGGGCGCGCGTCGAGATTATGCTCGCCTTTTTCTTATGCGTTGCGTTTTTATTAATGGTCTGCAGGTACTGCGTCGCGAAGTATCTTAAGAACTACGCCGCGGCGTGTCTTTTGATCGGAGTGCTTGCGGGGTGTGTGGTGTTTGATCCCTCGCACCTGGGTCTGCCTTAGTGCATAAATTTGGGCCCGGCGCATTCTCCTCGCCAGCAGTCTTGCTCTTATATATCTCCCAGCCGGTCTGCTCTGCCCCAGGCTCCAAACTAAGTAAGTAAAGGCGTGTCGGCTCAACGGCTCCGACCCGCGCAGGGTATTGCAATTTCGCTAGACCTTGACGAAGTTAGGAAGGGAGAAACTAGAAGCAGTCTAGTGTGTCTCGTGAAACATTGCCACACTGACTGAAGACGCCGAGTGAATCTCGTGAAAAAATACACAGCGGCGCCATTTTGTTGCTGTTGTTGTATCTTTCTGCCTCTGCTGTAGTTCTTGTGTCTCTCTGTCTCTGTTGTTGTTGCTGTTGTGTCTTTCTGCTCTTGTTGTTGTTGCCTTGTTGTTGTGTCTTTCTGCCTCTGTTATTGTTGCCGCCGTTGTTGCGCCCTCCTGCCATTGTCTTGCTCTGTCGTTCTGCCCCTGCTGTGCTATGCTCTGCTCTCCTTCTTTGTTTTCTTGGTGTGTTGTGCTCTGTTTTTTTGGCGTGCTGTGCGCTGCTCTTGTTCGTGTGCTGTGCCTTGTTGGCCTTCGCGTGTTGTGCTTTGTCTTGTTCGTGTGTTGTGCTCTGTCTCTTTCGTGGTTTTTTTCGGGAGCGTGCTCCGCCTTGTTCGTGTGCCGTGCTCTGTCTTTATTTGCGTGCGTTGTCTCTTGTTCGTTTGGCGTGGGTGCTGTGCTCCGTTTTTTTCGCGTGGTGTGTTTTTACTCTCGTGTGCTGTGCTCTGTCTCGTCCGTGTGCTGTGCTCCGTTGCCCTTTTCGTGTGTTTTTCTGGTGTGTTGTGTCCTGTTTTTTCGCGGGCTGCGCGCTGTCTTTTTCGTGTGTTATGTGCTTCGGCTTTTCGTGTGTTATGCTTGTTTTTTTCGTGTGTTGTGTCTTGTTTTTTTCGTATGCTGTGCGCCGTTTTTTCGTGTGTTTTGCTCTGTCTTTATTTTCGTGCGCTGCGCTCTGTTTTCTATTTCTTCGTGTGTTGTGCTCTATTTTTTTCGTCTGCTGTGCTCTGTTTTTTTCGTGTGCTGTGGTTTGTTTCTGTTTTTGGAATGAAAAGTTACGTTTGTATATCATTATCATATGTATGCGAGCTGATGCAGCGCGACTAATATGGAAAAGATTTCAGGTCTGAGGATGCAAAGGGCTTATTGTAAGAGAAGGCTCTTATTGTGAGACAAGTTTCTTATTGTAAGAAAAAGTGCTTACTGTAAAGAAATATTTGAGCAGCAACGATTGACCTCAGTTATGTATGTATGAAGATGCCATTTCTCATGCATTGAAAGCGAAGATCCTGATACTATTACTATGTAAATCCTGTTCGTAAGTAAAAAAAAAGGCAAGACAGACCTGCACGTTCTACCTTTGGAAAAAATGTGGAGAAAAATACAATAAGAAACATCATGCACACTTTCAAAGTCAAAGTATTTAGTCCAGCACGTAAAAAAATTAGAAAATTATCATGCTGTCTGCAGCAGCTGCGCCTCCTGTGCGATCAGGTCGTCAAGAGGGGTTTGCCTCTGCCACAATGATGGGAGGCGTTTGAAAGCATAGACTAATAAAGAAGAAGGGGGCCAAAAGGCTCAGTTTGTTTGAGTAAGGATAAGCGAACTGACTCTGACATAACGGAAAATTATGAGTACAATTCGGTCTACGGTTACTGTCTGAGGTTGTTATTTAAAGACCCAAGTACCATTGTCGTGAAAAAGAGAACGGAGTCTTGTCGTGACAAAGAAAGCGGACTGCGGTTACCCTAAATAGAAGGTGAGCGCTAGCTGCTGTATTAAGATATGAAATGAAGAGAGATACAGAGGAAGTTCTAGAAGCTTCGAGGGAACGAAACGGGGATCGAAGCTACAAGAAAAATGCGTTTGAACTTATAAGAACATTGAGGATCCTCGCAGGCCGTGGATTCGCTCTCACTCGTGTAGGCGAGACTGCTGTGTCACGGCCGCATTTAGTCCTATGGGAGAAAAAAAGACGCGAGAGCCTAGGCCAGACGAGGGCCGCCGAAGTCGCCCACCCAAATGAAAAATGGCTATCTGTTGGACCACAAGAACACAGGCTCCGTGCCTTGGTTCGTTTCTCAGTGAAAAAACACAAAGTCAGAATCTTGAATGCAAGCAAATCCTGACACTCCTGCCTGAGACTTGCGATCTCTGGCCGATGTAGTCCCTGTTTGGTTCATTGGGTAAGATGAATCACACATCATCAACATAAGCATGTCAGAAGGGATCGGACTGAACATGCATCATACGACTAGGATCAGCACAAACGTGCCTAGTCTCCGCATTGATCATTATGATTATGCACTGAATGCGCATTGGAAGTAGCATTCATGATCATTGACATTCATGTCTTGCGAGATCATCCCGATGACAGTCGAGCACGAGGCTTTGTGTGAGCCACTGAGAACAGAACAACACGACATCCGAGAGGTTTGCGCCATACATGACCAACGCCGCTCCTCAATCGATGCGGGTCGAAGTCCGTCTCACGTGACCGCCTCACTGTGTGTTGAGTCACGGCAATCGCGTCTCTTGTTTAGTGTATGTGACCTGGCTACGGTGGTTTAGAAACCAAAATAAACCGAATGCTTTACACTATAGTATCCGTTTCATCATCAGAGGAATCGCAGTCATCTTCTCTACTTGTAGTTATCGGGTTATCTACGTGGTGTAGGATTGGATAAGCCTACGCTGAGTGGCACTGCAGGTTAGTTTCGAAAGTGGGTCTGCCTTCATCAAGTTGGTAGGACAGAGCACGGCCTTACTATACTAGCAGCGTCGCGCACTCTTAGATAACGTAAAGCATAGCGTCTACTTTTAGGGCGAGTGTCTGTTGCTTTGGCTGTTGTGGTCGCAGACTGGTTGTCTATCCACAATACAGCACTGTCTAAGGAGGGAGGCAGGCTGTTCTGTGTGTGTACCAACTGAGTTGGAAGAGGCCTATAGAAGTCTGTGAAGTCATGCATCTCACTGAGCGCTATCGTGTCAGAGGCTGCAATATACTCACTTTCGGCGGTTGGGTAGGCTCTAACCGTTTGTCTGTTGCTCCTCCATGCTATGGGTGTACCTTTGTAATACATTATGGAGCCACTAGTGCTTCTCATTGTTTTGATGCAGTTGGCGAAACCAGCATCACTGAATATGTTTACTTCTGGCATGTCTCTGCCTTCTGGTAGAAGTTTCTCATATATTTTGTTGAATTCTTCTTCCTTTTCTGGTGAGTATTCTACTCTTTGGTCTTTTGTTGACACCAGGCATTTTAGGACTTCCTTGGCTGCTTTGGCCATTCTTGTTGACGTGGGTTCGCTGACATGTCTAGCCAACGCTGCTACCGGTGCAGAGATATCCGGGCGCGCGGTTACAGCTACCCATAGTAAGGCACCAACTACCTCACGAAAGGGATACCCATCAACTATCTCGGTCCCGTCTTCAAGAAAAGTTGTTTCGTCAAAATTGGGCGAGTAAACCGGTCTCCCTAGTTGAGCTTCATACCTCTTAGCAATTTTATCAATGTACTGCTCCATGCACAGTCTGAACGACTTAGCTTCACGGCCATAGTACACGATCGCACCTAAGAAGTCGAACTTTAGCCATTCGAGACCCCAGGGGGTTAGAATTGGCTCGACTTCAATCGCACGGCCTGGAGCACGTGTGGAAATGAGGTCTAGTTCGGTCTTGGGCTCATCTTGGTGTTGGTCAGGACCTGTAGTAAGATTGTCATCTACATAGACAGACATCTTCAGGAACTTCCCCGGTGCTTTGCTGCTCGGTTTGCGCCACAATCCAGGCGCAGAAGTACTGCACACGGCTCCCAGCCAAGACTGGCTAGAGTCTCGCGATACCTCTTGAACCATGCTCGTGGTGCGTCCTTCAAGCCGTGTAGCGCTTTCTTGAGCTTCGCGATCTCGTATCCATGCTGCTTCGCCCAGATGGGTGGAAGACGGCAGTAGACATCTCGATCGCGTTCGGCATTGAGGCACGCTGAATCTAAATCGAACGGGATCACATAGTCCCCTTCTGACGCAGCAGAAGTGAGGAGCAACCTATTAGCGGCATGCGATACCACGGGAGCAAAGGCGTTTAGCTCTCTTGAACGATCTAAGTTACCGAGTGCGCAGGCTCTTGCCTTGTATGTTCCACATCTCTTTCTTGTTAGTATGATGGCAATTGGTAGAGCCCGTAACGCGGTTGCTAGCTGCTCGTCAGTAGCTTCTTCCCACGTTTTAAAGGCTAGTAGTCTCGCGTGCTCAATGTCAATGACTTCCTTCCACTTTTCAGCTTCAGGACTCTTTAACGCATTGGCAACGGACAGCATCACACGTGATTCGACGACTTCCTCATCTTCGTCTATCTCCCACGTGCCACCAATAGCACTTGCGAACAGCGCCAGACTCTTTCTGAGTTCTTCCATCTGTTTCTTTGTTCTACGAATCCTTCCTCCAGCCTTGTCCTTGGCTCCTTTCGGTCGGCCACGCTTCTTGCCGTGTGTATGGCGTTCGCCTGCCACAACACGTGCGGGAGATAGCGCTTTCGATCTAGTCGGACTAGGTGAGTCAGAGACTCGATCCTTCGTCTCAGCTTTCCCCTCCTCAAGTGAAACACCTTTAGGAGAGTCAGTCACGTCGGATTCAGCCTTCTTGTCTAAGGTTTCAGCATATAGTTCTTCAGGAATGCCGGTCGGTCCACCTGGGGTGCGCTCCGTGCCAGAGAACCCCGATTGCTGATCCAGCCTTTGCACTGACTGCCCAATCAAGGGGGAGCCCAGCAACGACGCTCCACACTGCAAGTTTTCCAGTTCATCGCACTCATAGTAAAAGCCCTTTTTATCTGGCGTTAGCCAGTCTATGTCCTTTATTAGATAGTCCTCGCTGAACTTGACATCTAGGGTAGAGCATTCCGCCCATCGGTATCCAAGCTTGCAACGATCGCCATGAGCGAAAGTAGCAACCAACCAACCAGACGACTTCGGACAGAGTCCAAGGAAGACGCCCCGGCGATATTTGGCCGAGAGCTTGGGTTCAGGAGTGTTGGCTTGGATTTGTTCACGAAAGTAAACAAGACAACCAAATCGGCGGAGCGTGCCGATTTTGCTTTTGGAAGAATTTCTACCAGTTCTTTCTTCTAGAGTCTCTATTGGACTCTTTCCGTCGTGTTCTGGCATTTTAGCGTAATTATGCGGAAGACGATCCCAGCAGTCACTAGCGTGCTCAACACAGTAACACCAAAGACGTCGATAAACCTTCGTTAGCATTGTTCTCACGCTGCCAAACAAGGCCCGCATAAAGCGTTCAACAGTCCCACTCATTTCCGGACTATAAGGAGCAGCCGGATTGTCTGAGACCCGCAGCGATTGCATGAGTTTGGTCATGTCATCACTACCGAGGACTGGCCCTCCATCCCTCCGGGTGAACCATACTGCCTTGCCATCTAGCGATAAGGAGTAGTCTTCTCCTGTCGAATGCCTTTTATGACTTGTTCTATTTCCTCCACACAGTCACTCTTAAGCTTCAGCGGTCGACAAAGCGCCTTCTTAATTACGTCACATATGACAACTAGAGCACATCTCATAGATCTTACTGAAACAGGTTTTATTCCTACAGCAAGGTCTATTGCAAGTAGTTTGAGGGGTTCGGGTTTGTAGGTGGTCATGTCTCTAGAGTTTGCGTGGGATTTTCGTTGTCCTTTATGTAGGTCACATTCTGGGCAACTAACTCGCAAACCATCTGTGTGAAAGTGTCCACGTCTCCTGTGTAGTTCTAATCTCGTAAGGTAGCAACTAGAGACACCTTCTTCAATGGATGCACAAGTGAGACCGCTTTCGTGTTTGTTTTCAAAGAAACTACATGCGAGTGCGGGTAGCTGCCGGCGTGGGTGAGCTCTGATGGGTAGCATCTGGCCGGTGTCCGTGTGCACGATACAACCGCCAGCGCCTTTGAAATTGAACTCCCACCCTAATTGTGAGCAGTTTCCGTCTCCTAACCATGGCAGTGCGCGACCTATGTTTCCAGGTAGAGAATCATAGTAAGCTCCATTCTTTAGTCCAAATGTGTTGTTCTTGAGTTTTCCGACTTTTCCGTCTTTAGTGCCTGCGCTACCTGTTACTCTACAGATGTTGTTACCAATTTCATCGAAATCGTCTTTGTGTCGTGATAGGTATTTGTTTGCACAGCTGTCAACTAGAGTTGCTTCTTCTGATGTTCTAGTGTTCAATGTTGTGAAACTATATCCATCTGTATTGTAGCTTTCAGCATAATTAACAACATTTGTCATTATTTCATCTACTTCGAAATTCAGCGAACACTTCCCAAATTCGTATGGTTCCGTCGCTCAGCTTCGGTTGTGCGAGTTCATGACGTTGAGCATCTCCGCAACCTGCGACATGTGGATCATGCCACTGCTATTACCTTTTCCACCTTTCTTTGCCTCTAGAGCTACTAGATGAGGCTCCGGTAGTCCAGCTTCCCTGTCCCTGTTGAAGGGCTTGTGTGTTATGCCAGCACTCGGAGGACTTGTGTCCGACCTTGTGGCAGCAAGCACAGCGGGGTGGATAGGTATTTTTGTTATTTCTTTTTCCTTTATCTTTCTTCGGCTTTTGTCCGCCGTTCTTTCCTCCTTTGGGTTGGTACCCGTAGGAATTGTAGACCTCGGCGATTGCCTTCTTCTTTTCTTTCTGCTTGAAACGCTTGAGGGCGTTAGCGGGAATAAAGGTCTTACCATCTGCCTTATTGGCCTCTGCCTCGTCATCGTCCTCATTCTTATCATCACGAGGACGCTTGTTCGAGGTTTCCTGAGCATTGACCGGAAACGCTTTCCCGAAGGAGTCGTTCTCAATTTTGTAGGTTCCCTCCTCGATCAACGTTGTGAGACGTTTCTCAAGTCGGTCTCCAATTTGGTCAAATGTCAGGCCGTCTTCTTCTTGCATCCGCTCGATAGTCGCTTTGAAGTTCTTGCAGAACAACTCGGGCAACTTCAGCAGGATCGCTCCGTTCTGTTGATCAGCTTCGGGCAGATCTGCATCCGGCGGGAAGACGGTGGGCGATTGGTTCATGATGTCGCGGATCTTCGAGAGGAACTCCTTGACATCTGCAGGCTGGTCGCTGTTGTGGAACTTCGTCAGTCCCTCCGACAACGGCTTGACCTTCGTGCGCTGCTCCTGGCGATTGTTCGCGTTGAAGAGAAGCTCCCTTGATCACGAAGTAGAGCAACAACTTCACCAGCATCCATTTCGTCCACCGCGCCATCGTTATTCTGATTGTCGACAAACGACTTGGCCGCACCTTTGAGACTTCGTATGATTACGTCTTTCAGGTTGCGCCACTTCTGGCGGGTCGCTTCTTCGCGACTGGTATTACCTTGCGGCACACCATGTGGAACGGCCGGCACGTTGACTACATTCGTGTAGTTCTCAAGTAAGCCTAGGCGACTAGCTTCTTGATGTACTGCTCGTTGCCACTCGCGCCAGTCGGACTTCTGTCCCAACTTCTTGAGGATCTCCTTGGCCTCGCAGGACATTTTGATGGATTTACTTATTTACTACACTACTTCCAATTGTGTTTACTTTTGCCGCTCAAGGGTTAGACCAGTGTTGGACCACAAGTGAAGAACACAGGCTCCGTGCCTTGGTTCGTTTCTCAGTGGAAACACAAAGTCAGAATCTTGAATGCAGGCAAATCTTGATACTCCTGCCTGAGACTTGCGATCTCTGGCTGGTGTAGTCCCTGTTTGGTTCATTGGGTAAGATGAATCACACATCACCAGCATAAGCATGTCAGAAGGGATCGGACTGAACATGCATCATACGACTAGGATCAGTACAAACGTACCTAGTCTACGCGTTGATCATTATGATTATGCATTGAATGCGCATTGGGAGTAGCATTCATGATCATTGGCATTCGTGTCTTGTGAGATCATCCCGATGACAGTCGAAGTCGAGCGCGAGGCTTTGTGTGAGCCACTGAGAACAGAACAACACGACATCCGAGAGGTTTGAGCCATACATGACCAACGCTATCACTATACACAGAAGTAGTCTAGTAGTACTAGCGTTATAACTCACTTTAGAAATAACACGAATGAACGATAGCGCGAGATTATTAGAGTATTTCCATTAGAATTGGAGGCGTACATCAAAAACAATGCCGGAAGCATCCGCCTCGGCCGTGATGGCTCCTCCGCCGAAAGGGAGAGGGAGCAACAGCAAACAGGAGAAACTTCTTAGCGCAGGCAGTGGAATCTTCGCGGGGACCTCATCGTTAAGAATTTCCTGTTTTATATTTGATGTCTCCCAATTTTTTGAGATTGAGAGTCTTCATTATAGTATAAGAGTCTCTTGACTCAATCAGCCCCAACCTTATTTACCAATGCCATCGTGTCTACAAAGAACACCTTGTCGTGTTGGCATCTAAAAAGAGCATCACGACTGATATATCAAACACCATCTTTCTTCACTGCGTGACTGCTGGCAAAATGAATATCACCACAAAAGGATCTTCTTCATCAACGTCTTCGAGTCATGATCTCTCTCTAACGCCACCACTGAGTGACTGTCTACTGCCGCTTAATTCGGGAGAATCATTGGCACCCATCTGCTATGCCCTCCGATGCGCGTGTAGGGATCCCTCATTGGAACTCGAAAGAGCCTTCGAATGCGAAGTGACACCTTTTATGAAGATTTCCGTAATTGTACGAAGGGAGATTCCTCATTCTCCTGGATAGCTTTTCCCATTTCCTCTAGGTGTACTGGAGCTAGGGGATAGCTTTTCCTCTACCAATGCGAAGTGACTCCTTTTATGATGTGAAGTGGCACCTTTTATGCAGCAAATTTCCATGCAAAGAAATGCATGAAAAAAATTGTTGTCCGTGGTGTACAGGAAAATCTCCGTAATTGTACGAGTGCAAGAGAGTGGATAGTAGATGAATGGTACGAAGGCAGATCATTCTTCATCCTTCCTGGTGTCCTGTAGATGTAGTTTGCGTGTTGTGCTTACTAGATGATAGCTTTTCAGCCCCACTAGGCTAGTGGGAGCTACTGTCAAGAAGATATCCCCTGGATAGCTTTTCCATCCCCCGTAGTTTAGTAGGTGTGCTGTACCTCTTCCTCTACCAAGAAAGCCAAAGTGTCAAGTGATGCTCCGCATATTTGTTATCAGCATCTTCTATTTTTAACTACTACAACGAACTAGAAATAAAACTCCGAGCACTTCTGGGGCTGGCACTATCAAAAACTAGAAGTATTCGAAAACTCAAAATAAACGAGTTACTGACCGAAATAAGAGAGTCTTGACAACATTGGTTCCTCTCCTTTCAGTATCTCCCTTATTTTCAGTTAGTTATCGTTTCTAAGTCCTCACTAGTACGAGACTTCGGTCGTAAAGCGATATCAGACTCCGGAAACCCGGTAAAAATAGTTCAGGGGTACATTTTGGGCAGCGAATTTCGCGGTAACTTGGATTATGATGGTTTACGATATAAGCGATAAGAGAGACGTTGAAGTAAGTGGATAATGATGATGATGATGTGGCTGGTTTTTTCTTAGTACCCTTCACACACAGCTCCATTAGGAGCGAAGATTGCTTCGAATGCGATGCTCTAGCACATGATCTACATGTAGCTCACGTTTTACCTTTTTTCCTGTCCAATTAAGATTATCGAGGAAAAAACAAAGTGATATCGCCCTAATTCTACTAAAGTGATAGAGATTCTGTTCTTATGCGTGGCAGGTCAGCCTCTACGTCTGACTGAGATGGTATTCGAAAGAAATCGGATGTGCGTTGTGGATAATCGAGTAGCCACCTTACTACAAAGAACATAGTACATCTAACATCGTATTTACTAAAATTACAACCCTTGTCCTTCTTGCAGCTGGTTCTAATCAAAACGCGTTGCGAAAAATGGGTTCAAACCAAGGGATGCTGTGAAGATACATGTCGGCAACATCGCTCAACTTGTCAAGGGAGATATCATGAACACACCTGTCGACGTTTCAAAGGAATTATGGCATCCTCTGTTTCGTCTTGCTAGTAGCTTAGGATGGCTACTTGAGGCGCCACGATGATGATCAAGAAGGCGAGGATTAGAATGAAGAATGTTGTAGTTACTTAGCTTAACTTTCACGCTGTATGTAAGCTCTCTGGCTCGTCTCTGTCTGCTTCAATTTACTTTATCTTTTCTGTAAGCTTTCCTTCCTGATTAAGTGCGATCACACTGCTGGCATGTAATGTATTGACTTAGTCTAGCTCTTACACTCTTGTGCTGTCTTTTTCTTTGCGTCTGTGAAATGCGTGCTCTACTCTTTGCGCCCACCCCAGCTGGTGCGTCGAACGATTCGAAAAATTTGTAAATTGTAAATTGTAAAATAGAAGGTGAGTATGAAGACTAGTAAAGATTTTGAGTCTATTATGGCGATGGCATACGATTACTTTTGCAGATGGTTACAAATTGGCTTTTGAAAAATTTCATTAGCTATTTTCTATAGATAGTTAAGGTAGTTAAGATAGCTAGTTAAGAAAGCCGCAGGGGAGAAGGCTGCAGTGCTGCTGGAGCAAGTGAAGAGCGAATCGATCAGGGGGTTCGCCAGTGGTCCGAGTGAGCCCAAGATTGAGATGGGGGAGAAGCTGCAGCTTCATGGAGCTCCATGCTGTGGATTCGGGTCAGAACGCTTAGGACTTTTGCTGCAAGGTGTCCAAAGATGAAGCCGCTGCACTACGTGTCCTTCTCCTATGATAGTACTTAGACCATGGCGAGCACTTGCAACATCTAGAACTAGACAAGTAACCCGCTGGCGAAGCCTGTTGATCAACTTGCTCGTCGTATCGTGAATGTAGCAAGAAGTTCAGCAGCTAGTCGATGGGGCCTCATCTATCGCCCGATCTTCATAGTGCTCGCAAACAGACGAGAGAAAACCTGAGAGAGATGAAGAGACAACAAGAAGGATCGAAGAAGACACGACGAGGACGAGGCAGCTGGGAAGAAGATGGTCCTAGTTGGTGATAGGCTGGCTGAATTATATTGGTTTGATTTTGATGACGATTCTACTCACGACCTACGATGCTCATGAAATGCATGGAAGAAAAGTCAAAAGCTTAAGGTAAACCTTTGAGGGAGTAGAATAAGGATAGTCGCTACTAGACCACACAACGAGAGACCAACAAAATGCCAGCCAACAAGAAGTCACTCGACACCTATGAGAAGAATTTGGATGCTGAAGCAGCTAAGAAAACTCTCGAGGCTGTGAGTCTTGAGATAGCTGTCTTGGAAAAGCGTCGTGACGCGCTGAATGCTGAGGCTGGTGGTTATTGTGCTGCGCACTTGTTATCGAAACGCAACTACGAAGGGAAATCGAGTGCGTCAATCTTTATGCTGATTTAGAGTCTTTAGATAATTTAGATTTAAATTTATGACTTCAGCAAATTTAGCGGAACGACTGCAAGGCTACTCCTTCAAGAACTGGATGAAGAGCCTTATGCTTGTCCAATAGTAATTCACTACATGGCCTTCAATTTAATACCTCCCTCCCAGAAGATCGCAATCCTTCTCCCACAGCCTTGATGGATTTGGACTTGAAAGAAATGCGCGAGCTTGTTGCTGCACTTTCCAAGCAGCGCCAGTCTGAAGTCGAAACCAAGATGACTGATAAGGAGCAGCTTCGCTGGTTCTTGGAAGGACTCAACGAAGATCGCCCGAAGAAGCAGGCATCGCAAATGTTAGAGCTCAACCTTAGACAGTGTGGGCGCTAAGTAAGACGTTGAGAAAAGGAAACTGGAAGAGACTTCCGATCTTCAGACCCTGGCGCTATGCCTTGGCTTCGTCCTACTTTGGCAAGCATCTTCCTACAATTTCGCGGGCTTTCACAGCTGGACTTTCATAACTCGTAACTTCTCTTGTCGCGACAGCTGGCGGTGGGAGAAAGCCAGCACGCTCAAGGGAGGCACATGTCGCACGAGTATCCTACCAAGGTTCACAGGAACTTGTGCCAGCAGATGCCCAATGCGCACAAGGTGAAGACGACGTCTGCTGCTCGTAACATGGTTGGCATCATGCAGCAACAACAGATGCAGAACCAGAGCCGCTCCCTGCATGCGTTGATGGGCGGCTATGGCGGAATGGATATGAACCCGATGGGAATGATGTCCCAGCTCTTCGGAATGAACCCCATGGCAATGAACCAGTCTAACCACTTGGCAACTGGTGACGGCTCCGCGGCCACGGTATAGAAGTTAGAAGATTTAGATTATTTAGATTCATCACGAAGACCACGACCTACTATTTTGTGCTCAGATTGAGTTGATGAAAAGTGCTTATCTATAAACCTTGAGAAAGCGGCTTGCTTCTTAATCAACATCCTCCACAGTTTTCTTTTACCCTCCTTAAGCCCATCCTCGTGCGCTTTCCAACTGTAACAGGTCAATCCGCCGGCCCCCAACGTTCAAGCTGCATCTTCCTCTTCTTCCTCCAGTGCGGCGCCTGCGATTCCATTGCCGCAGCTTGCTGCTCCTCAAGCGTCCTCTTCGAGCTCCTCCTCCGTCGCTAACCCAGCCACCGATGGCAGTGCAGAGGTCCCACAGCCGGCGCCCAAGCGTCGCGGCCGTGGAGGAGGGCGCGGCGCTGCTGCTAAGCAGCCGAAGCTCGAGTAAGAGTCTATGACGATGCTCCTCAACACAACGCCACGCTGTGACGGTGTCGCGGGGAGCTAGATCTGCGGTGGACTGTGGTTGGGGTGTAGCGGAAGTCTCGACGAAGTTAGAAGACCCTAGGCAACGACTTCTATAGCATGAACAAGCTTTGACACAATGACTAACCCATAGAAGCCACAGCTACTTGGGAACTATTGAGATATCTATTTGAACCTTACAGCTTCAGTCTTGGGGTCGAAATATCTGATGTTATCTAGTTTCCATTTACAACATTTAGCAGATTGGTTGACTCCTCAAGTACTAAGATCCATTTTTGTGATGTAGGTATTTTCAAGTTTCAGCTTTCTTGTCTACAGCATCTTCCTGCCATCAATTAGCTCGGTTTTTCAGTTTTCTAAGGTATTGGCTAACGATCTCGATCTTTCCATACTGTCAGCGATTTTCTCCTTCGGGAGTTTCTACTAAGTCACGCGAAGTCTTACGGTGTTTTGAATTGAACATGAAGCGCATGGATATACATGCCACGTTGCAAGGGCTAGCTCTTCATAAAGAAACCACTCGACGCGTGTCGGCAGCTGCGTCTTATCATGCACTGCAGAAACCATTTCGCAACTTTTGACGTTTCACCCAGATGACAAGCATCCATAAATAAGAAACCAAATTGATACTCGACGTTTCTGGTGGTTCTCGCCGTCGATGCGTCGTGTCTGCACCAAGATAAGGGCTTCGAAAAGATACGGCCGGAGTGCATGTCGAGCGAAGTGAGTGAGAGCCAATAAGAGCTGGCAAAAGATGAAAGCTCTTCGAAATCGGCCCAAAGAAAGCAGCCTGTCGAAGATGGAGAAAGTGGCTTGCTCTGGTGGGTCTGCTACTTATTGAGGACTCTACTAGGAATCTCGAGGGTCTTCTCAACATGTTGTAGGAAATATAAAAGCGGCTCTTCTTAGCAGATAGAAAACGAAGAGACAGAACGTCACCGAAGTGCTCTCATCTTAATAGCATGGACCTCCGTGCCCGGAGTCTTCCGCTGCGGACTCGTGTCATGTGGCACGAGATTCAGCTTGATCCAGTAAGTGGAGGGCACGCCTTCCGTTTGAAGTGGGCACTTCCTGGCGACGGAAACAACGGAGTGAAAATGTGCAAGAAGGTGCGCAAAGGTCTGAGCGATGAGCACACTCATGTCGCGGAACCAAAGCTCGATGGATCTGCAGCGGACTTGGTGCTATGTTTATGAGGATGATCCTTGTTGGAAATAAGTCACGTAGCGCTTATCTATAACATCTTAAACCTGGAGCAATTTGAGACATGTTCACCTGCAATCGAAGAACTAGTAGACTGAATACAGAGAGACTACCACTGAGATCCTCAGGAATAACCTAACCTCTACACGCAGCAACAACATCCACGAACGTCCTCTAGGTCAGCGCCCTCTTGTGCCGCAAGCTCAAGGCGACCGACGCAGAGTGGGCAGCGTTTGTCGCTGGCTGTCCTTTTCGGGATCTCATCCTTCACGTCGATCGCATGAACAGAGAAGACACCATCGAGAGTCTGAAGGCTTACGTGGATCAACAAATCCGCAACAAGAAGCCGAAAGTCGCATGAGTTACGGACGCCACCTCGCTGCAGGTAAGAGGGTAATGAGAGCGCCACTTTACAGACTTCCTTGCGCTTAAGCATGCAAATGGCCGCCCTACCTACTTTTCACATGAAAAGAACTGGCGACCTTCTTGTAGTGACCTCTAGAGACGATCCTTCTCCTTCTCCTTAAAATCATCCCAGAGACGCTGCTTGTCGTTGTGGTCGTTGGCTCAGATGAAGCCTCGGCTCTTGACGCAAGAGCCCAACGACGTTAGCCGCTTCCTGCTCCAATTCTTCGAGGTGGAGAAGCTGCCAGACCCGAAGCAACATTTCTGGATCAACTACGACTACTCCACAATTCGTAAGAAGAAGATGTGGGCGGGGAGTGTACTAGTTAGAGTCTTGGTCTACTAGATGAGCTGCTACATGGAAAATTCTACAAGACAGAAAGTGACTCAGCTGCGAATCAAAATAGCAACCAAATGGCGAAGACTCTACTTGTCAAATGACTTTCAACTAGCCTCTTCTTGCTTCTATCTCTAATCTCCATAAATACCATCTCCAGACTTATTTCGTTGAGAATATTGCGATGGCGCCGCAGCCGCAGCTGGAAGAGACCCACGCTCTTCCTCTGCCAATGCAAGAAGCGTTTCAGGGGTTCTCGAAGAACCGCAAGACACGTGACGCAACCAAGTATAGCGTTTCGGCGTGCCAGCTTTTCTTCGACTGGTGCTTCGGTAAGGGAGTGTCTGACTTGGTGCATCATGATCCTCTAGCTACAACAATCGAGAACGTTTCACTGCGGGAATGGGAGGTGGTTTCTGATGGTAGTCACAGCTTGAGCGTGGAGCTTCATGCGATGGCCGACCAAGGATCTGCAGAGGCGTGCGCCCTTCAAGTCTTGTTCCAGTTCTATGGTGGCGCCTTCGCTTTACCGCCGGCACATCGTTTATCTAACGACTGCAAGAACCTCATCGAAGCCGTCACTGCAGCTGCTGCTGGTTGGCGTCGCTTTGCCATGGGCCCCAGAGGTTCTCGTGAAAATCAATCGAAGTTTGGCGAGGCCATCAAGGACCTTCGTGCTATGGCGGCAGATCCAGATCGTGCTCACCCACCTGGTTGGCGCTGGAAATCGGCTATGATGAGCCAAATGCAGAAGCCAGCCGTGTCTGAAGCGCTGCAGGGTGGTACTTATGCATCCGCTTGATTCTCTCCTTAAGCTTAGAGTGGATCTCTGACGTTTCTCTATTTGATTCATGTAGAGTCTCTTCTTCAGTTTTTTCTTTCTCAACATTCACTCTCTCCCATGATTTCTTCAAGTTATGTTGATTATTTTGAGGTGTAACTGGAAGCAAATCCAACCTGAACACCCACGGAGCTATCGACTACTTTCAAAAGTAATCGGATGCCTTTTTGCAGATGATTACTTTTGAGGGGGGGGGGTTAGAGGGGTCCCAAAGAGAAACAAATGGGATGTGTATTGGCCAGATCCTTATGCTGGTTCCCTTCATATAATCAACCTAAACAGCTAGTTCCCTCCTTAAGATTCCACACTTCGCGCTTCGTGGCAACCAACAAAGTCCAACTTGGCACCATCTTCAGCATGCGGAATCGTCCACGTCGGCACAAACGCCCGTTGGTTTCGGGAATATCTCTTCAGCAAGTCCATGCAATTTGAGCACTACAAGGCTCGGCTTGTGTTGGACCACATGAAGAAGGGCGAGAAACTGGCTCGACCTGCTCGCGTTGTTGCAAGTGGGGACTTGGATGGCGAAGGTCGTGTTCGTGAAGTTGTTCCGGATTCTGAGGATGAAGATGGGCCACAAGCTCCATCGTCTTGGCTTGGTTATGCTTCGGATTACGATCGCATCCTATCCGATGCTTCAGGACTAGACTATGGCGCGATCTTGTCGATTTGCGCTTCGCACTACGAGTTGCGCAACCTCATCGAAGGTCTAGCCAGTACCAAGTGCAACGAGAAGGTGTTCGATACTCCTGACAAGCTGCGAGTCGGAGCGAAGTTTCTCGGTGGTGGTTTGACTGCTGACTCCACGCTCACAGTGCCACAAATTCAGGAACGCTTATCGAATCGTCGCGCCGATAATTGGCGCACGCTGTTCCTCGATGTAGCAATAGCTTCAAGAGCTTCTGACACGGCGTTGCTGGCTAGTAAGCGGGTCCTGGCGAACGTGATCAACAACTACTTCGTGGATGTGTGGGATCCTCAATTTGGTCTTCTCGAGACCTACGCTCGTGGCGACATCAATCCTACAGCAGAAGATGCCAAGCGTGTTGCCGCTCTGTGTCCTTACATCTTATCGATCACAGCAAAGAGAGGTCTTCGCTGCATCGTCGAGAATAAGCGCACGCTCCTCCTTCGCTACGTCAACAACCGGAACGCGTCGATGCCTCTGTTCGAGAAAGACAGCGAGAGCTGCTGGAAGGAGAAGAAAGCGCAAGAAGCACTTTGGTGCTCATCTTCTACTAGCATGTGGAGCAAGCAGATGAGTAGAATCGTCGTCATGCACACGCACAGCCGCTACAAGTGTCCAGTCAAAGAAGACAAGAAGACGCAACCAATACCATATGAAGTTGTAGAGAAGCTTGCCACTGAGGCGGTCGCGAACGGGCGCGAACCTGATGTCATGAAGGACCTGCAAGATCTACACATCGAGACGCAGCGCAGACAGGCGGGAACCAGGGGTAGGATGACAGACGAGACGCATACGCTGAAGGACATGATGGCAAAACGCTGGAAGACAGGAATTGCTTCTGCGAAGAGTCAGGCTGTGCAGCGCGTCGCCCATGACCCGAAGGAGTTCAAGAGCTATCAAGCTGAGAACATGGGCTTCCGTGGTGTGCAGGTGAAGACGATCTAGGAGAACCACTGGCAGGATAAAGAAGAGCTTCGCTTCTGGGTCTCGATCAGCAAACGCGTTGCGGAGGAGCGCCATCTAACGAAGAAGAGCGAGCTGGTGCTTCGCAGTCCAGAATCAGGTCGGCACTGCTATGCGACGCGTTTCTATGATGATCATGCGTGGTGGCAGGGAGTTGAGGTGATGCATGATGTAGACAGCAACACTCTTCATCTGCCAGCTCGTGGTCAGGATCTTGTAATCACTGGTGGTCTTCTCGGGAAAATGGACATCTACGACGGCCAAATCCAGGAGCGTCGAGACTCGAAGAGTGGAGGCTTCTCGTTGCATATCAGTGGAAGTCTTTTCATCACTTCCCGCAGCGTCTCGGAGGCATTCTTCTGCGCGATGTCAATAGAAGCGCAGACTTCAGCACTGAATCAGCTCACCAAGAGATACCCAGACGTCAGCCGACATGATCTCCGAGCCGTTGGCCCAAAAGAGCGCCAACAAGCCTTCATCAACTACAACAAAGGAGCTCTTCCCAACAGCTGGAGCCTCACGATGCGGGAGCTTGCAACTCCAACGAAGAGAATCATGCAGCGTGGTGGCGTAGACTCTTTGAGCCCGGAGCGCAAGCGAACTGCCCACAACTTCCTGACAAGCGCCCGAGCAGGTCGTCCACCAGGTCCGATGAGCCCAGATGCTGTCGTGAACAATCATCAACGTCAGGCGCCTCGCTTCGTCTACTCAGTCAGAGAGCATCAAGACATGGTCAGCTTGCTCGACGTGCCCCGCGCATATGCCGAACTTCGCAGCCATCGCTGCAAACAAGGCGCACTTGCAGACCGTATCAGAATTCACTGGCAACCTTCTGGCTATCGTCCTACCTATGCCAAGCTGGCGCCAGAAATCGACGCAACCGGAGACGTAGAAAGCAAGATCATCAGCAGTCTTCTTCCTTACATCGTTGGGGAGTTCAACTTGAAGAGAGACGAAGTAGTAGTCATGCGAGTCGATGAAGACAGCTTCGAGTTCGGTGATGAGGAGCAAGTTGATACTCCCGATGCTTTCTGGACTGACATCAAGCAGATGAGAGACCGACGAGGCCGAGCCGCCAATGCAGCTCGTCAGAGACAACAAGAAGCGGCGTCTTCAACCTCAACAGCTGCGAAAAAAATCCCAGTGATGAAAACGATGACGAAAACAAAGAAGAACGAGCCTTCCACTTCTTCAAAAAAATAAATTGTCTTATTTGGTTTATCATCTTCATTTCAATCATTATTATTCTTGTTTGGATCGAAAAAATAACGATCACTCTTGACAGTATGGAAAGACTGAGATCATAAGTAATCAAGCTGCTCATAACATGAAACGAATGAAGCAGCGTGTTTTAATTTCTACTGGAGCGCTAAGATTTAACTTCGATACTTTGTCATAACTTATCTAGGAATGTTTAAGCACGGCACTCAAATCGATAGCGTCACACAATTAGCCTAATCATTTTACTCATCTTCGTATCCTAGTAAGACTCCAGTGCGTTCATTCCACTGATATAATAGACATTATGACTCAGGTAGTAGAACATAGCGCAGCTTTTCAACTCTGTACAGTTATGCAACAAATGAAAACAGAGCACCCTATGCATCAAGAAGAACCACGTCAGTCATCTTAAAGCTCATTTGTTATTATCATTAGGCAAGTCTTTTTCGATCATTCACTGAATGCAACAGATATGAGTAGCATCATTTTCGTCCCTATCGATGTTGATTCTTCGCGACTTACTTCTATCAGGTGCTTTCTCCAATTCTTCTCGGATAATCGTCTCCACCCGGCTCCCAAACAAATGACCCACAGGAACATAAAACGACTCCAATACTCCCGACTTAATTGCACGGACGCCAGGCGCGTCGGCGTATATGGAGAGAATAGCTCTGCCCCGATCTTTGTTTGACCTGAACGCTTCTTGTATTGGAAGTAGTTGCAGGATAAAGATTCTCAGGGCAGACGGGCTGCACGAAAGTGAAGAAGAGAACTGTGGGAGCCAGTGCGGATCTCTCTTTAACTACCAGCAGGCACTTAGCAAAGAGAGTAGAGGAGAAGAGTGCTTGGAGTCTGAGATGTAGCCCTCCTCCACCAGTACCCGCATCGGTACAAATGCTGTCCCATGTAGTTGCGTCCTCTCATGTGATTCGCCAGAGTCGCCTGCTCTCGCGTGTAGCATCAAGATGTCAAAGTCCTTAGCCTCGTAGTTTTCTCCGTTAGCCCTATGGATTTGAGTTAAGAGCTCTACAGTTTTATCAGATGCAGCTGGTTGATGTTCGTGATCGCATCCGAATCAAAATGAAGGATTAGGATACCGTCGTAGGCATACGCGTAGCGCGATGCTCTCTCCTCGAACTATTCGCCGCACTAGGACCTTCTCTTGCACACGCAGGGACCGGGCAGGAATCGCCGCAATGGAAATATCTCCATCGATCGGGCCAAACTCTGTTTCCCGTGGGACGTATCGAACTGATGAGTCTGCTAGTACTTTGAGGAAACGTCCTCTGAAAGTTTTCTCTATCAATGACTGCGGAGTAGACGCCGTGACGGTCAGCAGCTGCCGCTCGTCTACACCTACTCCTTCAGCATACAACGCTAGCAGATGCTGTCGCAGTTGGGTCTGGGAGAAGTTGTACTGCTTGGCAAATGGCTCCCATTGGGAATAGGATCGCGCTTGGTGTATTTGTATGCAGATGATTTCGTTCTTGTTGTGATATGAGAAGCCAAGTAGTACTACTCCATGCAATTCTTGTCGTCTATGTTGAACTACGTGTCTTAATTTCCTGGCCCATGCGAGGTCCCTCTGAGTTGTTGACTTCAGTTGGCACAAGATCCACCGACCGCTATCTTCTATGGAGCTGCCAGCTTCGTCCGTTGGAATTATAGCGAAATCGCTCAGGCATTCTGGTGCGTTCTGAATTCGAAACGAGTGAGATAAGATTTATCTAGTTCAGCTCTACATAGAGCCTCGATGCTCCTCGGACGAGTTCCCATATTCTAAAGGAATAAAAATGAGCGAAAGCCTCTGTTGCATAAATGAAACCAATCTGCTCGATCGTTTTTGCATATTCGAGAGAGTCCACTCCTTTTTTTGCATCGTAGTGCACCAGGATAGCAGGGCAGACTTCTCTGACATCTCATCGCCTTCGTCAGTGGTTGTTCGTTTACTCTCTTCACAGGGTCAGCTCCCTCCTATCTTCTCTCCATGGTTTTGTAGTAAACTATTTTTTGTCTTCTTCTCTCGATTGATGGCTTTAGTGACATGCTCTCGACCCTCAAAATGAATAGACCAGCTGTCTTCTAGGTAGATGATGTTGCCCCGCTCTTGTCCTAAAACATGTCCTGCGGCGAAGGGTTCGGCTCCTGCTGACGACGTTCCGACCCGAATCCACGACCAGCCGCCCATAAAGATCCACCTTCTACTACGTGGCAAGCTCAGGGTCTCTTGGACCTCTTATGAAACCCCTGATCTGTTCGCCCTGCTCTTCGTCCAGCAGCGCTGCAGCATTCTCCCCTGCGGCATTAACCTATCTTAACATTAACTAGCTACTTAAACTAAATTAACTAGTGAATGAAAAATTTAAAAATCGATTTGTAACTGGATGCAAAAGTAATCGTATGCCATCGCCATATCTATATGATTAGAATTAATGTTTATGTTACTGATGGCGCAGTTTATAGCACGAATGGCGCATGGGACGAAGGGCATGAATGGCACACCCCAACAAACCCCAAATGTGTCACGAATGGCACGAATGGCACAGGTTGACAGGGTTCCGCCAGCTGGCGCCCCTGGTCTCATCCGCTTGCCGAGGATGTAGGTGGTGCGTAGCTGCTGACTCCGCCCATGAGAGAAGCCACGCCGGTCGACAAAGCCGGCGGCGAGTGAGGAGAGGGAGGCGCGAGTCCCCGGCAGGCTCCTCTACCGTTTTGAAAATGGCAAGGGAGCGGGCTAGGGAAACAGCGGAAGCCGCTTCTGAGGAGTGCAGAACCACACGCAAGGCGCCGCGTGGGCCTCGTTTTTTCCCGGAACTCCGTGGGGGTCATACAAATTCGGTCGAAGCTGCGTAACCCCCAAGGAATTCCGGGAAGAAAATGCTGCGAGACAACCGGAGCGGCATCGGGGTCCAGCTTAAAAACAAGCGTAGCCGCGTGCCTTGCGGTAGCCGTGACGACGAAGAAGGGAAGAGGTGGCGCCGAAGCATGGCGCCCCGCCCGTAGCTAGCGGGGAGGCGGCCTTGGTATCTAGTGGAACTGTGTAAGGGGTGTGCGTTTGGCTGAGTGCAGGGCTTGGCGCCCGAAGGGTTCTCGGCGGTCGGCATAGAGCGTCGAGCAGGAAGTAGCAACCTAGTGGAGGGAGCAACGCAGGGCGCCCGAAGGGCGCCCCGCTCTCGAAGGTCTATTTGGTCCACGAATGGGACGAATGGCGAGGTCGATCGCGGTCACGGATTGCGCCCCCCCATCCGTGCCATTCGTGCCATTCGATCCATGCCATCCCAGACCTGGGACCCTTATAAACTGCTCTATGATGATGATGCTTAGGAATACAAATCGGAGGTAAGTTTTCGTTTCGGGCTTTTTCTTTCTTGATTGTATCCATAGTCCTCATTTTTAGCATTGATCTCTTGGGCTTCTTACCTGAGAGCAACTTCCCTAATATTAGAAGAACAAGAAGAGACAGCGCAATCGGAGGCAGATGAGAAGGGAGATGAATCATTAAGAAGATCAAGCTTTGCTTTAGATAGCAAGAGCGCCAACGGTACTTAATATTTATCGCAGCCATGATTGATGAGACAGCTATTTGTAGTTATTCCCATTTGATTCTACATAAATTTGTTGGAACCTTCTCTCTGTGTGCAATCATACCGTAAGCCCTAAGACGGGAGGCACACAAACCCACCACAGATCTTAATCCAAACCCATGGTTTATGGAAAACCTCGTTCTCTTGGTCTAGGTTTCCTAAGGATTATCTCATACTCTAAGAACAAGCCCAAATAAGAGAAAGAGCACAAGGAACGCAGCTGAGTATCTTCCAAGAGCGCTGATGAGATGCAAGCTTTGTGTAAGGTACTATGCTGCTTTTGCGTCAAATAAAGCTTAGTGTTTTATTCCATGGTGGATATTGATCCTGATCCTGCTATCGTCTTACTTAGTTGCTACGCCTGTCATTACAACAACAGGAAACCCTTTGTGACGTACGACGAGAGCTATTTCCTGTGCAACCAGATACCAGACGAGTACGATTCAATGTTAGGGCACGACGAACTTCTACAAAAAATGCAATAGTAATAATTTAAATACATCAAGATACCAGACGAGTACGATTCAATGTCAGAGCACGATGCACTTCTACTTACTTACAAAAATGCAATAGTAATATATGCACGATTTATATCTATTGCCCCATCTTGTTCATGATGGAAATGGACATCTTTTTTGGGACTTGCCTGCTTCTTTGACTTTGAGGTCGTTGTAAGAAACTTTATATTTGCAACTTTTTCTATAATTCCTCTGCCTCTTTTTACTCTCTTCTAACCTGTGTCCTTCTCCAGAAAAACGCAGAAGGCCAAGAGGGTGCCTTCCGCGCAACCTACGTCATACGAGATGCGGCGCAGATGGTTCCGGAATTTTATCTGGAGTTCAATGTCACCCCAAAAAGCTTTGGGGAGACAGATGATACTGTTACGGCTAGTGCTAGACTACTTATAACTAGTGGTGGTCCAGCACCTTAAATACCTATTGTATTCTCCTCAACATCTTCAGAGACTTCTGGACAAGATGGGCCTGTAGTTCTAGTTGTTGATTTCGCAGGTTCATGATATGATTGTGATCGAGTGAGGACCGAGACGAGTAAAAAATAGCTCATCGGCTCCAATGAGTGCAGGCATTCTTTTTAATGACGAGAGAAACCACGACACTATACAAAGTTATGGAATTCCAAGATGAAGAATTTGGGCCAAGAAGCTCCTCTAACAGTGACGCTGACGACAAGCCAGTACAGTGGTGTACAGGATGCAAAGAAGGAGAGAAGCAACCAGGTATCTTGATTTCCTTCTTCAAATCGTCAACATGACCATAAAATCCTGAAGCAAGTTTCTGCATCGAGCAGGGAGACATCTAAGGAAAATTTAAGGGTAGGCTAAAGGTGTTTTCCTTACCGCTTTTTATGCCTCTCTCCCTTAGGATGAGAAAGGCATAACAAGCGGGGTAAGCGAGCACCAAAAACCTACCTCTAAAAAATCACTCTCCAGCAATTTTCTGCATAGAGGAAGACGGGTGGATGTTCTGTCAAAAGTGCTTAGACGAACTCTTCGAAAAATTGCCGATGATGAAAGAACAAAGGACTGTCGTGTATAATTTACTTTTTTTTCCTGGCATGTTGTTTGAAAGAATCTCAATATGATAAACAATGTTTATTAAACATGCTACTGGCTTTAAAGTTATTAAACATGCTACTTTTCCTTCGTGTAGTAAACTAGGATCTAGTGTAGTACACTAGGATCGTGATGTACATCAAATTCAAAAATACCAGAGGTACTTGCCAACATCGAATTAGTTATCCTATACCTTCAGGGCACTTGCCGATATGAAGCCAACGTTCGCCCACTGCGCAGTACACGGGGATAGAAAGGCCGAGTGGTGGTGTGTGGACTGCAAGAAGGCTCTTTGTGTCGCATGCAAAGTAAGCGGGAGTCATTCAAAAGGTACTCTGCTCAAGAGCTTTTGTACTGTCTCTAATTCATTGACATTGTATATGTATTAACTTCCTTTTTATGGTGGTGATGACTCCTCGAGGAATCTTCAATACTATTACAATTACAACCGATGGTGTAGTACTAGTACTTGTAATTATACTAGACTTCTACTTTTCACATACTCCTACACCTTCTCCTTCTGACTGCCATTGACGTTTCATTTTGAGACGAATACTCCCCACTGACCCCTGAACTTTATGCGCGTTTTTTGGCTAACAGCCAAATTTCTACGTTCGCTTTTGGCATAGTGTTACTCCATACTTCTGCCTACCAATCACGTGATATTAGCCACTTCATCCCTCTCAGGGCGTGCAGCGACGCATAGACTGATGCATATCAGAGAGAAATACGAGGAGGTGAAGGATGCCATGTCAGTGTGTCCACAAGATTATGAAAGGGTTGGCCGCATGTGAAGAAAGGATTCACATTTCATATCTTGACTCACAAGTAAATTTGACTTGACTCACAAGTAACTTTGATTAAGATTGTACGGTTCTGGTATTTGGTAAGCTGAGTTTGATCCTAAGGGTTCTCTTCTTGTTTTCCCTTATGATCGAACTCAGGTTACCAAATACCAGAACACTTCAAAGATATGAAAAAAGAATGAAGTTTCAGCACCCTCATCTCCTCCTTCTTACAGCAGTACTTCTCTAACTTCTAGTCCAAGACGCGAGATGTTTGCTTCACGACCAGATGGACATGATCGAGAAGAGATCCCAGCAAGTCGAAGACAACATTTCGCAACTTCTGCAGGATGCGCAAAAGAAAGCAGAAGAATTGGAATTATGTCCTCCCGTTGCTTTCTCCTTTTTCTCTCTCTCTTCACTCCTCCTTTTCTGTCTGCTGCACACCCTCTCCTTCCTCTTCCTCTTCCTTCCTTTTCCTGTGTTTCTGCCCGTGCACTGAGGCTTGCCTCCTCTTCAGTAGACTACCTTTCTTCTTCATTTCTCTCTTCCTTTCCCTTTCTCCTTTCTCTTTCTCACTCATAATTCCAATTCTTCCGATTTCAAGAATTGGAATTATGAGAATTTGTGAAAAGAAGTGCGAGTGATAGAGGTAGTGGAGACTGATTATATATAAATTGATCATGAAATCGTTGACATTTAGTTTTAGATGGAGGGTCTTGCTCGTATTGAGGTTAGTCATTTGGATGTGACACACTGTGCCCTTTTATTTTAATACATCTTCTAAGAAAAAGACAAATCCGAGTGTTGGGAGCAAAGAAACTCGATAGTCTGAGGAGTCGAAAACATCTAGCAGAGCGGAACCTAAAGCAAATCGACTGGGCAAGCAATTTTGTACGATTCTTTTGATATATTTAGTAGTTGTAACAACTACTAAATTTGTAGAAGTTGACAAGAGTAGAGATGAAGATACAACTTGTATCTTCATCGACATCGTCCTCTTGGTTCAGATACTGTTTCATCTTCTGAGATAAATTTTTGGGCATGATGATTGATGATTGCACTCAAGAACAAGGACAACAAAGCCTCAGAGAAATGCATCACCATGTCTCCAACAAGATAATAACTTAACTGTAACTGACTAAAAATTCATCTCCACCTTCTACCTCAGGCCGACTACATCACCGACCATACGGTGATGCCCGCCGAGGTTTTTCTTCAGTCAGCTCCCTTTCACGAGAAACTCATCGAGTCCTTGGTGGAAAACGTCGTCTCCGTAGATGAGGAACAGTACCTCGAAAAAGCCGATCTCCAACTCGAAGGACATCTCAGCGTCATCATTGTTATGGGCAGGGTTAGCTCTTGGATTTTTTTCGTTTTGTTAGCTCTTGGAGATCTGGATTACCTCTACTTGGAGATCTATTAGTATTTTTCTGGATTACCTCTACTTGGAGATCTATTACAGAGTAGTTTATAGCACGCATGGTGCATGGAGTAGCATGGAGTGCATGGAGCGCAGAGCTTTAAGGGGCGCAAGAAGCTCCCCCTTTAGCTCCATGCTACTCCATGTGATCCATGCGCTCCATGTCGTGCGAGCTGTGAAACCTTCACAATTGCTCTGCTATTAGTATTCTTTTGGATTACCTCTACTTGGAGACCTGGATTACCTCTACTTGGAATTTTTCTAGTTTGAGTTTTAGTATTTCTCGCCTCGTCCTGACCTTCTAATGCCAAGACGCAAGAAAAGAGTCAATCGCCTGTACGAGCACGTGGGGGACTCATGTCAAGATTCGGAGCAGCTGCGAAAAAACCAAACAGAACAATAGCTGTTATGATGAAGTTCATTTCTCTTTGCTCGTCCATCACGCGCGTCTGGCTCCGGCCCACGCGGCGTGGGCAACGTCGTTCCCTCATATCGTCCACGGACGTAGAGGTGCGGCAGTAGCAGCTGCGGGGACCTCTGTGCCCTGTGGGGGCAATCTGATTGATTGACTGCTTGACTTTGCTTGTCACGTACATTCTTGACAACCAGAAGCGTGAGTCATGATCTAAGTACTTGTGCACAACAAGAACAACTACCATATCCATAAATGAATCTCTAATCAAGCTCCTGCCCTCGCAGCTTCAGCCGCAAGTCCCGAGTCATCGGTGGAGGAACCAAGACGACCATCCGGTGGCGCAGAGACAAGCTTCGTACCAAAGAGTGTGGCCAAGAAACTGTCTAGTGTTTCCCTGAAGGGCATGAAACCAGGAGTCTTCGGACCTGGGGACGAAATTGATATGGGCGTGCCTAACTAAGTAGTTTTGATGTGGCAGGAAGAAACTTAGAGAGAACAACGATAAATCTAGGAGTCATGATGTGATAATTCTTATTCTTATTGACTCATCAGATTCAGATCACGTACACGTACCAAAGGCAAAGCGTGTCGTAAAAGAAAAGAAATCAGATACAAATTGCGGCAACACTTCTAACATTCAAAATCATTCACATAATCGGAGCTGTGAATCTGCTCAACCGTGAATAGACACAAATAACAAGAAGGAACCAATAGAACCAGAATGCGAGTAGAAATGACCAACAGCTTCTGACGCTGATTTGCATTTTTTACTACTTTTTTGTCTTTTTAAAAATCATTCAGCACATCCCTTCGTTGAACAACTAAATTTTTCCTCTCGACGTACCAGTTGTACCTACCTAACGTACAAGCTCCAGTAACTACGAGTAAGAAATATCGTCCGAAATTAACAACAAACACAAACAGGAGTTTGTTCCTAACTCACGAGCCGTCTCCGCCATCTAAATCTCATTGCCTCCACGTCTTTGTACGATAATTTTTACCTGGTAGAAGCTTTGACAAATACATAAGGTGTAAATTTTGTCATTGTAAGTGAAGAGCCTGCACGAGCAACCACACGACATTTTCATAATTATAGTTGCATGAACAAGCGGAAGCGGGCACGAACAGAGATGGGGTACATATTCACAAAGCAGACCGCCCAATGCTGGCACCATTGTTCATATTTTGTATTTTTCATTGACCTGATACTGATCGATAGCCTAAAGTTTTTGTGGATATTTTTGTTGCACAGTAAGAGACACACAGACAGCGGATGACAAACTAACGAACATGGAGGAAATGAAGGTTCGTAATATTAATGAGCTACATGGCTCATTACATGCGAGACAGAGCCGCATTTGAGGTGATAACATAAAAAAGGCATGAATCATGGCAGTAGACGTAACATGTACTACACTATACATATAGGACTTGCAGGAAGACGGCGACAACCTCCTGCAAGGAGGCAAAGTTCGGCTGCCCTAAGGCCTGGCGTTCAGGTTGTGGTGCTTTATCAGGAGTAGAAGTTTAGGAAGTCGGTGAAGGTGAGGCGACGTCAGAGCGCAAGGCCATTTCTCAAGGTCACCAATTTCTGCGTGTGCGTGTGCGTCCTGTGAGATCTTTAAGAAAAAGTAGAATTATATTGCTTATGTGTTGTAAGATCGTCGTGTAACGAAAAATCCTCTTCTTGTGACAACACGTGGTGTACAACCAGGATCAAGTACTATACAACCAACATCATGATGTACTTGTCCTCAAAGTTGTATCGGTGTCCTGCTCAGTATGTAGTTGTCCTCGTTCTTGACGTTGTTTTGGTGTGCGTCTAGTAGTACTCTGTCTTGTAATACAACAGAGGACTACGAATGCGCGCGCATGATGATCCTGCGCACTGGGGTCATCAATTAGGGAAGCCTACGGCGTATCAGTATCTGTCTCATCGGGATCCTGCCCAAGCACCTGCACGATTGGAACGCAGGCCGCGGACAACAAGGGGTTCTCGTCCTGATTCGCTCAAGAGGAAATCGGGCAGCCAAATTGTCGATCAGCACAGGAAGATGCCTTCTTCTAACTCTGGAAAGCGAAGGTTATCACCTGCCAGAGTCGAGGAACAGCAGATCGTCAACATAGAAGAAGCCTCGAGTGAAGATGCGCAGGACTTTCAGCCGACAGTCGAGCAGGAAGAGCAGCAGCAGTTGAAGCCTCTTCTGGCAGCCGGAGGATCCTCGAGTGAAGATGAGCAGGACTTTCAGCCGACAACACCAGCAAAAAGCAGGAGAAAGAGCAAGCTTTCGTCTCTGGCACGATCTCTTTGGTACTTGACGCTTCTACAAGTGCCGATCCTTGTTTATTTAAGGCTTAATTAGAAAGGATCGTAGACACTTTATATATTTACGGCTGCAACTTTGAACTTTATTCTCTTTCTTATAATTATTGGGAACTCTTCTAATTATATAGTTGTACGTAGTCGCTGTCGCATTGAGCAGTACTACAACTGTGATAATTGATAAACTAGTAGAACCCGAACCGTTTCGGTTTCGGTTTCTAACATACGTCGTCGGATTCAGTACTGTAGCGACACAAGACTCTTGCCCGATATTGACGCAGAGGATCCTGAAGCATGCTGAGCGGGTTGACTGGGGATTTCTATTTGTGTCGAGTAGCACGACTACGAGACCAGTCTTCATCACCAACTGGCGCGAAGCAGCGTTCGATCAGCACTCGATACCTGCACATCTGTGGAACGCTAAGGTGTACTACTCGAATCAAGGGGAACGAGGTATTGCTATTTGCTTAAAATTTATTATATTTGCTTAATAAAAGAAGTCCATATAATTCCAATAGCAGTGGCAAACTAGTAATTTCTATAATTTGCTTAAATAGAAGTCCATGATTCCAATAGCAGTGGCAAACTAGCAAGAGGTGTTATTGTCTTCGTCCTTCGAAAAAACTCCTTTATATAGAGTATCTACTTGTAGAAGGTAACATGATGTAGATCATGATCTCGCATCAAAACATCCACCACGCTACCTCTGTCTCACAGAAATCATGCTTTCGGCCTTCGGCGTATCGACGTTGTTCTTTTTGGTTTCGTTTCTGTGTTTGAGTTTCACACTCTTGTACTTGTACAACAAAGATGCGGAAGGGTGCCCACTTCACGATCTGAACTTAAGGCCAGTTGTGAGCGTAATTTTGCTCAGAAATATTGATTACATACTACAACCTTAAGTGGAACGAAACACCAATGTTTGAGACACCGAAACCAATGACTATTTCTGCGCTGTTTTGGATATTAGTGATTCATATTTCATCACTTAGTGAGATTTGGTAGTCTCCGACAGTTCAACCTCACGAATTTCGCTGATTCGGATTTCGAGTTGTTTTCGACATTAGTGGATCCGGATTTCCATGTTAAGGACAAAAATGGTAGTGTCCGACAGCTCAGCTTGAAAATGCTGCTTCGGAAGTCAAGCTATTACTTTGCGACATTAGTCGCTCGGCGTTTCCAGCTTAAGAGCAGTCTTCACCCATTGCTCTTTGTTTCAATCTATGGTAGGGTGGCTGTAACGCCTTGACTTGGTAGTGTCCGACACATCATTTTTGAAGATGATTGTGTTTCGGTTTTTTTTGTTTTTGATGATTCCGATTCGATGGTGATGATCCTTTTGCTTTACTTGGCACTGTGGCGAGGCGCAGAGGCAGAAGAAGTTGGCCAAGTAGTAGACTTTCCACATCAATGAAGAAGGTTTCAATGTAACCATTTCCAGATCAATGAAGAATTGCTGCCTCGCTCAGTCATCATGCTTTTTCCCACGTTACTTGGTGCCTTCTGATTTCAGATTCAATTGGCGGATTTTGTTGGTACTAACATACAAGCTGTTCGGTAATAAACTGGAACCCCGACAAAGGCTGAAACCCTTCCGAACAAATTGAGTGTCTTGCTGGTGGTCCTTGACTGAAAGATCCAACGAAAACGATGCGAAGTTCTTGAAAAGTGTCGTGGCTTACGAAAAAAATATCACGACGTCTCATCCGGCTCTTGATCTCTTTGAGAAATTGAAAGTGGAAAGATCCAACTCATCCCCTGAATATAAGAATATATAAAAGCTGTCTTCTGAAATTGCGAGTGTAAATCTGGTCAGCTAGAATCGGAAATCTCCCGGTTTAAATGTTCACGGTAGTAATCTCGTACTTGTTTCAGATTTCTGCTCATCATCCTAGAAATTTGTAACAACAACCACCTCCGGTCCGCCTTACCGTGCTGTTGAGGTCATCTTATTGGTTGCTTGGTGGTGCATTTTTTCGCTTCGTTATTATCTTCATCATCATCATCTTCCCCTAGGATGTGATTTATTATTTTTTACTTGTTATCTTTACCTTCTTACTTACTTGTTACCTCTCATCCTCTTGTGATCTTCATGCTGATAGTTTGGTAGTACTTCGCTTCCTTGTTATCTTCAACCATGGTTTGACTTATCTTCCTCTATTATTGCTACCTTTAGTCTATTATTGCTACCACACTTTCTATTGCTGCTTTTTGTGAAGTCTTTAATTAATAACTTTTTCGGGACTTACTTCAGATTGAAGGCAAAGAATTTACTTAAGCTACGGGAGTAGATCAACAAAAACAAAATGGCGCTGGCGACTACATTTCAGAAGGAAGAGGAACCGACGAAAGCAGAGATCCAGACTCTGTGCCCCGTCAAATTGGGGAAAATTCTGGTCGGCAAGACAATGGATATGCTTGTCGACTACCACGCGCCTCTGCACCTGTATACCGGAGAGTACAAGGACAAGACTTCGGGAACAAGCCAGGAGCAGAAGAAACAAGTGAAAGGGGAGATGCTGGCTGTTAAGGGTTTCCAAATTCTATCACGCGCTACCATCTTTGAGCCTTTTCCTAGTGGGAAAGAAATTAAGGATGTTCTGGCGACTGATATAATTCCGTAACCTCTAACAATTCTTTGGTGGGCTCCCGTGTGAAGTGTGCGACAAACAAAATCTATCTGGATCGCTGCCGCGGCCGTCTTGGCCAGCACTTCAAGGACAACAAGAGCGCCCTAATGGCTATCAAAGACATCGAAAAGCAGACCGCCAAAGTGAGAGGAGTTCTGGATCAGATGAAGCAGAATGTGGATTGCGGAAAGTACGAGATGCTGGACACGTCGTTCATCGATCTGGGAGTGGTTCACTGTGCGATGGGCTTTGATTAAGAGAAGACCAAAGACGGCCCTGCTGCTGTTTGTTTTGCTTGTCCTAAGGAAAAACGCAAAACAAACTGGAAGCAGAGACGTCAAGACCTTACCTCTAAGTTAGGGAGCAGATGCCAAACCCCCGCAAGGTCAATCCGTTTAAGATTGAGGAGGGATTTACTGCGTCGCAGGGTATGCCAGGGTGCGAGATGATGTGAAACTCATGCTATTTGTCTGTGTGATGAGTGATTGTTCTAGTATCTAAGGAGCCTACACCAGAACTGACTCATATGACGGGACGGCTTTGACATTGACAAAACCTGCATCACGCGGATGCAATGCACAAAAACCAAATACATGCTTTCGCCTCAAACTCAGTTTTTTCTGCGCCGGAAAGAGTGAAGAGCAAAGGCGACAAGACCAAGCTTCTTGGGTATATCATTATCGTCATCGGCTCGGCTTCGGCTTTGGAGTCTGCTTTTTTTGGTGTGAAAGTAAACGAAGCTCACCCCCCGGATCTCTTTTGAACAAGTCTCGTTTTTTATGTGGAGAGCAAATTCTTTAGATCGGTGCAGGAGTCTCTTTGTATGATGTCAAGCGTGTAAGTTAAACTTAAAGTTTGCTTGCTCGAGAGAAACAGCGGCGCATTCAATGACAACGAGAGAGATGCAACGACACCCCTATCCTTATTCCTCGTCTTGGCTGAAGCAAGTAAGTTCAAGTGTAGTTCTATTCTAACAAAAAACGCGCAGCGTACATAGTAAAAAAAGTATATTTCAGAAAAGTAAGTGCTTGTTGACAGTCGGACTTTCACGTGGTTGCTTCATCAGTTTTTAGAGTAGGTCCCAAAAATGCTCCTTACGGTCAGTGCTGAGGAGTTTGCAGAGCTGGCTGCTCTTCTGCGGCTCTTCGAAGATTATGAGTGGATGTATAACAAGTCAACTATTTTAAAGGTATTTCCTGTTTCTTCGGTCTTCTCATCCTGAGACTCTGAACGAAGAGTAAATGGAAGGACGGAGGAACAAGAAAGAAGTTAGTTGTTTTGTATGCTTTGAGCTCTAACAAGAGGCGCGAGGCTTGGACGCAGCGTCATTCGTCATCTTACGGCTAAGGCAGTATACACGCAACTGAATCAACTCTCTCTGTCTGACTTCATTCTTATAACTCAGTAGCTAGCTGCTAGCCCAGTCACTTAGTTACAAGACGGCGTGCTCACTCTAATCATCGAATGCGCAGAGAAGGAAACGGGGGGACGCATTGAGTATTTGAGTTAATTTAAGACACATGGTGTTGCTTATCTGTGTGCCTATGATATTAAGAAAGTTCGCTCATGGTCGTTGGCCTTCTTGTACGTGTCGCAAAATAGTCCGTCAGAGTCAGTCATGATCTTACAAACGTTCGTTGCGCAGGTTAACCGGTCGCGATTTCTGGGGATGGGTGGACTGGGCTCAGAACCAGCGCTCGATGAGCGACTCTCTGTTAAGGCAGGTACTGAATTTGAAACGACTTGCCTCGTCAGTCACTCCGAGTTGAATTGATCGCTTATAATTTCAGCAGAACCTCTACTCTAGGGCTTCTAAAGTTCGAGCTCTTACTGGACGACGCCGAAAGCATAAGAGGGATGAAAACGAGCGGAAAATACATCGTAGCAGCAAAAGGTGAGGCTTTCCCTTCAAAGTCGATGGGTGAATCTGGAAGCCCAGTGTGCCGCTCTGTCTCAAATTAAGGTCGGAGACGTTTCCTTTTTCTCTCATTTCTGGATTGGAAAAGTTTACTAATGGTTGGGAAGCTCACTAGGCATGGAGCAGCGTGGACTACTAACAGTGTCTTCGCCTCTAATCAGAATCTTCATCTTCAAGCTCCAGCACATCGTCCATGACGAACGCGGCGTCAGTCTCGTACCTGGGTGCATCGCCGCCATCGCCGGAGCTGCCGATCATGCAGCCGACGCTGCGCCGCCCGGCCTCGGGGACTAGTCTGGTTGTGGAGGTGAGTGAATCGCCGCAACCAACACCAAAACGCAGGCGAACTACATTCGCAGAAGAAGCTGACTAAGGGACTATACTAACTTTTGCTAAACTGAGAGTAGAAGTAGGTCAGGGCCAAGGCTCCGTAGATTATAAAGTCAGTCTGGACACAGATACTCCCTGGTCGTTCGCCATCAAGTACTTTGGAGCCAAGTATGTAGTGCTTGCGGTCGTCATATCTAGATCTACAACATGCCAGCTTCTAACTCTCGGTTGTACTTCTCGACGCAGAAACAGGGGAGCCATTTGTTATGGACACAGAATGAGGTAGTGCCTGACTTTCTTAGCAAGTTTGCTACACTCATTATCTGCGTCGTATTGGATGAGGACTAATTATCGCTGCTCCTGTCTTGTTTGAGAAAGGTGCATTGAGAGGGGTCCTGCTTCGATCTTTCTAAATTAAGAACGGAGCGAGTTACGTTCTTGGGGTCTGCATAGACATGGGCTGGCGCATCAGCCTCGTTCTGTTTTCGAAGCCAGCGAGGAAGAATATATCGCTCGTAATCGTAGGTGCACAGTGTTTCTTGATCTTGGTTTCCGTAAGCATTTGGCATTACCATTAAGTATACTAATATCAGATCGTCGCTGCTTGCAGCAACAATTTACAAACTGAGCGCGTGGCTGAACCAGTGCCAGAAGTTATATCTTTCAAGTTCGTGGACCTGGACACTCAAACTCATAGTAGTAGCGCTTCGACGTGTTTGCTTCTGCATTAAAATAAATTGATGGAGTGAAAGTCTCAACTTTCCAGATTTGCTTGTTGCATAGTAGGACTTGCTAAGTGAGCACGATACAAAAAGAAAAGCACGCTACTCATGCAGGATGCACTCATAGTTTCGGTCGTGATATCAAGCTATACATAGCGAATGAGACAGTGAGCCCCTTTTTTTGGCATATTGTGATTGTTAGTAGTACGACCTTAGAGCCCCCCCAGCGGTTGCGTTTCGCGTTTTAACTCCTACCCTAACTCGGATTAAACTCCTGGCACATGCTCGGGCTCGTTTCTGCTGTTAAGGGAGTCAGCTTCTGAGAGTGGGAAAAACTTTTTTGGAGGCATTTCTGGACGACTGAAAACGCAGAAAAAAAAACGCGGCCGCGTGGCAAGTGTTTCGCTTTTATGCAAGTGCGGGAGCATGAGTGAAAACGTCCAAAATCTTGGGACATTCTTCCAAGCGAAAGACCGCGAAACCCAAGCACCGTCGCGGCGGTGGTCTTT